AAAGGATATAATAAAAGATACAAACGAACAGCCAGATGAAGGGATACATAGGGCAAGGTCCAGAAGGTTTCTGAGAGCAGGAGCCTCTGTCCCTGTGGAGCTGGGGTGCAAGACTCTCCCAGCACTTTTTGTGTTTACCAACCTGGAAGCTCTCCAGTCCCCTCAGTTTAGAGATTTTTATGGAGGCTTTTTTTTTTTTTTTTTTATCCTCACCCTAGGACATTTTTCCATTTTTTGTTCAGGTAGAGTGGGAGGGAGAGAGAGGAACAGAGAGAGAGAGAGAAACATCGATGTGAAAGGAACACATCGAGTGGCTGCCACCCACACAACCGACCAGGGCCGGGGACAAACTGCAACCGAGGTACGCGCCCTTAGTGGGAACCGAACCCGGGTCTCCCAGGACCGCAGGCCGACGCTCTAACCGCTGAGCCAAACCGGCCAGGGCTTTATGGAGGCTTTTTCACATACTTATGATCAACTGTTAGCTCAGTGTCCAGCCCCTCTCCCCTTTCCAGAGGGTGGTGTATTGGGTTGAGAGTTCCAACTTTCTAATCATGGCTTGGTCTTTCTGGTGACCGGGACCCATCCTGAAGCTATCCTGGAGTCCACCTAGAGTCCTGTCATTGGAACAAAAGACACTCTCATCACCCAACAATTCCAAGGGATTTAGGAGCTCTGTGTAAGATGCTCTTATCACCCCCATCACTCGGTAAATTACAAAGGTTTAAGAGGGCTATGTCAGGAACTGGGAGAGGAGACCAAATATATATTTCTTGTTATGTCATAGGCAGATATATGACATTATACATTTGATAAAACCCATAGAACTGTACAACACAAAGATAAACCCTAATGTAAATACTTGTGAATAATGACACATTAATATTTGTTCTCCAATTGTATCTCACTAATGCAAGGGGAAACTATAAGCAGGGGAGAGAGGGAACTTTCTACACTATCTGCTTAGTCATCTGTAAACCTGAAACAGCTCTAACAAAACAAAGTATACTAATTATTTTTAAAAAGAAAAAATTTTTTGACTACACAATGAGATTGGTTGTCCAACTGGTCAATGAAAAATATAATGCAACATTTAATGAGAGGAACTTAGTACAGAAAGAATCTAATTAAATCATTGTTTAATAATCCATGTTTGATCAGAACTGTCTGCCATGAGACCCTATCAGAAGAAGCTATGATCTCCATGCAATTAGGAGTAATAGTTGAAAGTCTGCACTGATGTAAACCATGGGTAGATAAAGATAAGAAAGATAATGGTACATACTTTTAAAATCAATGACTCCCTTAGGTCATGTTTTATTTTCACAGAACTTATGCTATCCAAATTCTAAATCTCATCAAGTTTTTGTCCAAATAGTAAAAGCAGATTAGGATACCCATAAGGAAATAAAGGCAGAAATAATTATTTATGTCAATCTAAGATGTGCTAGCCAGAGGTTTTGCAGAGAAGACAGGCTACCCTGTATTTTGTTATTCATGCCACATATTCTATCCTTTTCATTCTATCCTTCTGTGCAAGTTACCTCCTTGCAGCGCATTAGTTTTAGTGCTAAGATTCTTTCAATTCATGACCAACAGGAGGAGACCAACAAGCCTAAGTTATTCCCAAACCCGAGTTTTTGTATCTAGAATTCTTCTTTTGAATTTTATAGAGCTAGTATTCATGTCACTGATAAGAAATTTAACTATAAAATAATGCTTTTAATTCTTAGATGGGTTATAGTGAAGGGTTTGGGTTTACTTCAGTCCGTGTCAATGGAACATAGACTCAGAGAAAGCACAGAGTCTATCAAAGGCCAGGACTCATGCCTTATATCAAATCCAGTGCTCTTTTCATAAAAGTATGCCATCTTTTGTATGACTCCACAACCATACCTCTGGAACCTGGCTTTCCTGTCTGCAAAAGTCAAAGCCTGGGCTCTACTGTTTTAATAAATGTTTTAAAATTATTGTAAAAGTAACATGTAATCATTGTAGAAATTTTAGTAAGAGAAGAAGCAGGAGGAGTTGTAAGAAGAGAGGAAGAAGAAGGAAGGAAACAAGGGAAGGAGGGGTAGGTAGAAGGAGGGAGAAAAAATAAATAAAAATCACTTATAATCTCACCACTCGGAGGTAAGGAATATAAGCATTTCAGTATTCATCATCCTGGATGATTCACAATATTCTATACACTCTTGTAATCTTCCTTTTTCTGTTTACCATATTTCCATGGGAGGCAGGATAGCCAGAGTTGGAAGGTGGCAGAAACTGCATAGCTAGTGACCGAAAGTCCAAGCTTTGGAACTAGACTGCCTGATTTATATCCTGGCCCAGCTTCTGAAAAGCTGTGTGATCCTGAGCAGGCTATTCAACCTCTCTGTTATCTCAGTTTCCCATCTATAAAATGGAGATAAAAATAACTGCTTCAGAGGATCCACTGTGAAGATTCAATGGCTTAATAGATCTAAACCACTTGTAACAGTGCCTGGCACAAAGTACATTCTATATCAGGGTCAGTAATATTTTTCAGTGAAGAGTCAAATAACAAATATTTAAAGCTTTTCAGGGTCTTATGGTTTCTGTCGCAAGCCCTCACTGATGCCTTTGCAACACAAAAGCAGCTATAAATGAATGAGGTGGCTGTTCCAATTAAACTTGATGGTCACTGAATTTGAATTTCATATAATTTTCACAAGTCATAAAATATTCTTCTTTTGATTTTTTTCAACCATCCATTAAAAATGTAAACACCTTTAGCTCTTGTCTATACAAAGATGGGCAGTATGCTGGGCTTTTGGGCCATAGTGTGATAACCTCTCTTCTATATAATTAATAGACATTATTATGTCTTTATTAATTTTTTTTTATCCTCATCTGAGGACCCTCTTTCATTTTTGTTGTTGTTGTTGTTGTTGTTCAGATAGAGTGGGAGGGAGAGAGAGAGAGAGAGAAACATCGACACGAAAGGTACACATCGACGAAAGGTACACATCGAGTGGCTGCCACCCACACGACCCAACCAGAGCTGGGGACAAACTGCAACCGAGGTACGTGCCCCTAGCGGGAACGGAACCCGGGTCTCTCTGGACCGCAGGCCGATGCTCTAACTGCTGAGCCAAACCGGCCAGGGCTTATTAATTATTTTTTTTTAATTTATTTTTTTTATCCTCACCCGAGGACATTTTTTTCCATTTTTTGTACAGATAGAGTGGGAGGGAGAGAGAGGAAGGGAGAGAGAGAGAAACATCGACGTGAAGGGACACATCGAGTGGCTGCCACCCGCACGACCAACCAGGGCCGGGGACAAACTGCAACTGAAGTACGTGCCCTTAGCGGGAACCGAACCCGGGCCTCTCCGGACCGCAGGCCGACGCTCTAACCGCTGAGCCAAACCGGCCAGGGCGTTATTAATTATTTTTAATGGCTGCTTATAACAAGGTTGTTTGGAAGTCCAAAATTTACTTAGTCCTCTATAGTTAGAATGGAGTTTATATTCATTATATGTCACTATCCAATGAATATCCATGCAAAATCTTTGTGCACATTTCTTATTATATCTACATCCTAAAGTGTATTTAGGGTAGCTACCAAAATGGCTGGCAGAGCATCTAGAAAGAAATAGACTCTGAAGAAATAGCCTTGAAAACTAATCATATATAGTTACAGTAAATTTCAAACATGTTAGAGAAGGAGTTTTATAAGTATAACATATAGTCACACACATAGAACTTCTATGTACCGTATACCTCTCTAAGCCACACATATATAAAATCATTTAGTCCTCAAAACAATTCTAGGACGTATAGGTGCAATCATCATCACCATCAGCAGCAGCAGTAGCCCATAGTACAAAAGAAGAAATTGAGGCTGGAAAAGCTAAGTAACGTCCCTAAAGGTCACACAGCTGTCTGTAGCAGAGGCAGGATTGCAACCTGGTCTGTCCAGCACTACAGCCTATGATCTTGAACACAGTGCTGCGCTGCCCCTTCCCTGGTGAGCCTTGGCACTCCTAGGTACTCAGGACATACTGTTCCTGTAGTGTTTTGTGCATTTAGATCATGTTTGGCACGCACGAGGGACCCAGACTCTAACAGGTACGCATTCTAGCCCATAACGGGTCACTAGGATGGAAACTGAAAGCCCGTCTAACAACCTTCCTCTTGTCCTCCAACCCTCCCCTCACTCCAACTTTTCATGTCCTGCATTTCTTACCCAAATAGTTGTCCTCTATAAACAGTAAAGACTGACTGGAGCATACTTTCACATCTTGTTTTACAATTTAAGGTCCCAACTCTACCAAATTCACATGGCCAATTCGGAGGAGCCTCGCTCACAATGGAAGGCCCTTGTCCAAAGTCTCTCCCGCGTGGCCCCCGCAGCAGCACGGCGGGCTGGCCCGGCCCGGCGGGCCCCAGGGCGTTGTCCCGCGTCGGGGACCAAAGCGTCAGCCCCGCCGTCTGGCTCAGCCTTCGCTGCCTGAGCCGAGCCGCGGGCGACCGTCCAAGAAAGGAGTTAAGTAAGTGGCTCGTCCGACTCTGGAGAGGAAACGAAGATTCCGGTTCTATTTCTTATCCCGACTTCCCTCCTTGCAGGGACTCTACTGCTCGAGTTATCCCAGGGGGATGAACCCAACGCCGCGGGTCCCAGGGCGCCGCCGCACCCACACTCATGCCCAAACAAGGGCAGGATCGAAGCAGCAGAGGAAACGAGGAAAGAGACGCGGGTGTTTCAAAGTGCTCGCGGCGGTGCGGACGCGGCGGCGGAGCGGGAGGCCCGGGCGGGAGTGCGGGCGGCGGCCCTGGGCTCCGCCCGCCGTGGGGCGCCGGGCGCGTGCGCGGTGCGGCCCCGGCCCCGGCCGCCGCGATGCCCATTTTAGTCAGAGCGGCCGCGGGCGCGGGGATCCCACGCGTGCAGAGGAGCCTCCGGACCCGCGGACCTGCCGAGGCTTTGGCGTCGGACGCCCGTCGAGCCGCCGCGCCCGTGTACCCCGCGCCCCGCCGCTTGCTACCCCAAACTTCGGCCAGCGCCGCGCAGGCTCGGTGCCAGGCACAAGCCAGGTAAGGAGCGGGGGGCGCGGCTGCCAGCGCGAGCCCGGCTATTTGCAGCCTCGCGCTCCCCGGGCTAAATCGGGAAGCGAAAGTTGGATCCTGGTTCCACTGGGAGCAACTTCGCGGGCCCGCCGGCGGCCGCCCGTTCCCCGCCTCGGCCGCCGGGAGCCCCGCCCTCCTCTCGCTGGCCGCGCCCTCCCGGGGTTCCCTGCCCTTGGAATCCGCTCTGCTCGCTGGGTCCCGCTGGGTGTGGGCGCCGAGGCCACAGGCCCTCGAGTGTCAGCCGCCGCAACTCGGGTTTGCGGGTGCCAGCGTCCCCGGGCGCTCGGGCTCCATCGGTGTCCGTTCCCGCGCGCTGTCTCGGGCAAATCGTTGGTGATCTCGGCCTCTCCTCTCCCCGCTGGGCTCCGGAGTTCCCTGCACCTGAGCGCACGACAGCTCCTCCTCGTCCCCTGTAGGGCCGCCGGGTCGCCGACAGAGGACCACCGCGCTCAGTGCACACCCGTGGTGGTCCAGGAGCTCCGGGTCAAGGAGAGTAGTTGACACTGACCCCTTCTTTAAGAAGCCAGGTGAGCGGGGCCCCTGGGGGCGTCGATGGCTCGGGAACCTGAGACCCTCGCCACCGCTACCACCCCGCCCATCCCCCACCCGCCTCCTAGTTAACGAGGCTTTGGGAACCGGTTTTGGCCAGAGAAGTCACCGAAACTGCTTGTTTTTAAGTGTGAAAAGACTCTTAGCGACATGATGCCTTTTGGGATTCCGAAGATGTGCAAAGGTTTACTGGAATTACAGAGTGAATTAAATAAGTATACTAGCACGACTTTTGCTCATTACTGTTATCTTTTTCATTTTTGTAGTTTGGTGAAGGATTAAGATTAGTTTCACCATTTAGCTATTTAGGCCTGCAAACACCTATTTGAAAACCAATAAATAGGACTTTACTAGAACAGGTAATTTTAGGAATTAGACTTAAAGAACTAAGAAAAGAGGTTTTCTCGGTTTAATCAAAATTAATCTGAACGTTTTCCAATTTACCAGTCTCATCTTCCTCATTAGACCCATTCATTCTCTGTATTAGGATAGTTCAGTGTAAACCACTTAAATCCTCTAATACAGATCAAAGGAAGCTAAAACTGGCAAGATCCTATCAATATTTATTGACAGTAGGTAACTGGCATTTCAATATAGACATATAGACAAATATATATAGACAAGTAATAGATAAATATACAAGTACATAAGTTATGTATAATATACATTAATTATCATACAATATAATATATAAATCTAAATAAATATATAAACTCTGTGTGTGTGTGTGTGTGTGTGTGTAATAAGGTATAGTGCATCAAAATATGTTGTAGGATGATCTCACCTTTAAAAAATTTGTATTATTATTACCCTGGTTCTTGGATCAGTAGATTGTAATTTTTCTGTCCATCTCTTTGACCAGAAGTTGATAATTTTGGTGCCAATTGAAGAACTTTTAAAAGGCTTGAAACTGAACTGCAGTGAATTAGGTGGCAATACAAGTGTAGTCAGGTGGATGTGTGTGGGGGATGTAATAATTAACTTATATAAATGTGTATTAGAGGCACAGGCCATTAAAACTTGAAGAGGTTTCAGAGACCATCTAGTCCAGCTGCCTTTGTTCCCAGAGAGAAGCAGACCCAAGGATCAGAAGTGACTTCCCTGGCTTATGTGGCTCTCTGGGGCTTGTGGTATAGACACTGACTCTCAGCCTCAAGAAGGGTAGGCATTCTCCATTCTCCCATCTTTACTGCTGAGGTTTGGGGAGGCTGAAAAGTGATTTCTCACTGTATTCCTCATCGTTTGTGTCCCTTTGGTACGGCTTTCACCTCTGGCATTCTCTACGTAGATGGGTATGACATTGTCCCTACCTCATGAAGAGCACAGGGTACTTAGAAGAACAAATAGGACAATGGACGTGAAAGCACACTCTAAAGTGCAATAGAAATGGTAGTTGTTAGTTCATGTAATGCTAATACATAAGCTGACATTGTCATTAGCTTATGAGTATAGAGGACATTTAATATCATTTTCCCTCCTGCAGATATTATGAGAATAATTCTGATTTGGTCCTTGAGAGCAAACTTTGTATAAGTAAAGTTATTAAAATAATGATGTGTCCCCTCACCCCCCATTTCAATAGGCTTCTGTTTTAATGGATTCAAACATTTGGAGAGTAGTTGAATTTTTATTTTTTCTTTCCATTTTGCAGAAAATCATTACTAAGTCAACTATTTCTCTTGTATTTATCAACTATTTCACAATTATGCGGAGAGATCTTTAATTGACTTGATAATTTCATTCCCAGTTTGTAAGTTCTTGTGCATGTTTTTTTATCATCTTTAAGAGATGTGAAATTCTTACACATTTGTCTAATAACATCCTTTCAAAATGCCCAACGTGTGCCAATTATTCTGCCATCTAAAACCTTTACTTTAGTTTGATGAAAAAAGTGAATGGAAAAGTATGGTTAATTGCATAGCTTTATTGGAAAGAAACACATATTTTATTTTACTTTTATTTATTTTTATCCTCACCAGAGAATATTTTTCCATTTATCTTCAGATAGAGTGGGAGGGAGGGAGGGGTGGGAGAGAGAGGGGGGGAGGGAGAGAGAGAGAAACATCTATGTGAGAGAGAGACATTGATTGGTTGCCTCCTGCATGACCCTGATCAGGACCAGGGACTGAACTACAATTGAGGTACCTGCCCTTGACTGGAATCAAGACCACAACTCTTTGGTCCGCAAGCTGACACTTTAACCACTGAGCCAAGCTGGCCAGGGCAAGAAACACATATTTTAAATTAAATTTAAAGGTATTTTTTGTTTCCATTTGGAATCCTTTTTTTAAAATATGTTTTCATTGATTTTTGAGAGAGAGAAACACGGATGAGAGAGAAACATCGATCGGCTGCCTCTACTGGGGATCAAGTCTGCAATCTGGGCACGTGCTCTGAATGGGAATGGAGCCAGGACCTCTCAGTCCATGGGATGACGTGCAATCCTCTGAGCTGCACCGGCCAGCCCATTTGGAATTCTTTTATTGAAACAGAATAATTCACCTATTCTGTAAATCTCTGTAGTTTTTGTCAAGGACCAATATGTATAATTAATAATAGAAAGAGTGTTATTGTTTTTTTTAATCACAGATGGAGGACAGGTGATATGGTCGCAGAGTAGTGCCACTTTGTGTAAAATATATATTCTTTGAAATTTATTTGCTACATATTTTAATATTAAATAGTTAAATATATATTCATGACCTACATATAAATAAAATGGAAATTTACTGCTTTTCAGTTTGTGAGATAAAACAAACTAGGATTTTTGTGTGAAAGTAGAAATTTAAATTAGACACTAAAATAAGGAGTAAATGTTATATCTTTCTGTGTATATATAAATGATTATAGTAATGTATTTATTATGTACAAATATGACAATGTAGAATGTTTGTGTGTATATATGATACAGTGATTTCACAGTATAAAATTAGAGCCTTCCAGAGATCCTGAGCCTTCATACTGAAAAATGAGGGTGTTAGTTTTTCGAAGTATTCCAAAAAATCAGTTATTCCAGCTATTTTTTCTGTTTTTGGATTTAGTATCACTATTGGAAACATTATGGAAGACTATACTAAATGACTTTGTAATTGCTGTAGTTGATGAACATTGATGATTATCTTTTAGACTAGCTAATTCCACCATTCTTCTGTCCCTCGCCATCATGTATGTTTATATACAGATATATATGGAGATATAAATATATGTTTATATATATCATATATGTGTACACACACACACACACACATATCAGAGAATAGTTGGGCCCTATGCTAAGTATTTTATTTTATTTAATGATAAGGTCAAATGTTAATCATAAAGTCAAATGAGGAATTACTATTATTGTTTAACAGATAAGGATTCCATATATGATAGAGCTGGGATTTGGACCTGGTTCTCTCTAATTTATAAGCCAGAGAAGTCTACTTACCAACATTGAGTTCACAGAAATAATTTTGACATACCACCTATGAGGTGGATAAGATTCAGCTTCCATTTACATGATTGTCCATTTGTTTGTTTTTACAGGAATTTTCAAGATGAATTATACTGAGTCCAGGCCATTGGCAGAATCAACTGCAGTAGGTTTTACACCTGAGTTAGCAAGTATTATACCTGTGCCTTCCAATGAGACCATCTGTGAAAACTGGAGAGAGATACATCATCTAGTTTTTCATGTAGCAAATATTTTTTTTGTGATTGGGTTGGTTATTCCAACTACTCTTCAGCTCCATATGATACTTCTTAGGGGGATGCTAGCCATAGGTAAGAAACCTAACTGAGATTTTATGTAACTTCTATAACTGGCATCAGATGGGTTTTGTACTGGGAGCTCTGGAGAGTTCCTTGTCAGGTCTATCGCATACCAAAATATGTCTTTGTTATCGACTTAGCAGTGTATCAAGTAACTTAGAACAGAGGCCTTCATATGTCATCCCCTCCCTTACTTGCTTTAAATAAACTTTCGTATATTTTCATATGTTGTTTAGATTTCCCAGACATCAGAAAATCCATTTGTGTGTAGGAGTGCAGAATTTGGAGCCAGATTGTACAATTTGAATCCTGGTTCCAACACTTGCTAACTGTAACTAGAGCAAGTGATTTAACCTTTCTGTACTTTAGTTTCCCTGTGTCAAATGGGGTAAAAATAGTAACATCTCCTAGGGTTGTGAGAATTAAATGAGTGTGTGAGTGTGTGTGTGTGTGTGTATACATTTGATTTACAGTAGTGCCTGGCACATAATAAGTACTATATAGTTTTAAATGTTATTATTTGAGTAGGCATATACTTGCTGTGGGGAGCAAAGCAACAGTAGGAACAAGAACAATAACCCATACATAATAGTTTAAATAAAAAATTTTGGGGGGCTCCAGTAATCCTGATGAAGCCAATTAAATTGATTCACATCGAAATACTGAAACAACTTAATTTATTATTTTAGCCAGTGAATCTTGACAAATTGTTCTCTGTGATTATGTCCCTAATGATTCATTTATTCAGGTGCATTTTTGAGCACCTGTAATGTGTTAGACAAAGATTGAAGTAGGCAATCTGCATCCTTGAGAAAGACACTCTTTTGGGCGCCCAGAAAAACAGATAGGTGGTCAGATGTGATGCAGGTGTGCCCGGTGCCAAGAAGAACTGGAGAGGATGATAGGCTTAGCAAAGCAGGCAGAGCAAGGTCCCACTGAAGAAATGACGTTGGAGCTGGCTTTTGGATGATGAGCAGGATTTCTCTGAGTGTGAGTGTGTGTGGTATCCAGGTAAAAGGCACAGAGGAGAGGGAAATTTAGAATATTTAGAGAGACTGAAGAGTAGCTCATTGTGCCTGAAATATATGAAATATGGCATGGAATGGCCAATGAAGAGGCTGGAAGGGTAGCTGGAAGTAGCTCATGGGACTTTGTGTCTGTGTTAGCTGAGTAAGATAGGGATTGCAGCAAGGGAAGCAGAGTGTTGAATGAAAAAAACAACAATAATAACATGCCCTATAAAAATCAAAAGTTAATTACGAATTTGAAGACAGAGTTTTGGAGGTGGAATGGACCAAGGACATCATTTAATCCAACACTTTATACATAAAGAAATTGAGGCTGGGAGACAGTGGCCTAATCAGGACTATAATTCAGGTCCTCCAGCTTCCCAGTCATCCCTTCCATTAAGTTACCTTATCTCATTTAAGTAATAATATTTTACATTTTTTCAAATTTTGCCATGAAATATTTAAAGAACATTTAAAGTTTTACATTTTATGCTGTTATTTCGATGCCCCAAATTATTCTGATGAAATAAAAAATTGCAAATGAGTTATTTTTTAACATGAGAGGTTAGTTGGCTTTTATGTGTCATTGATATATTTGTATCATATTGATAATTTTATTTTAAATTAAAAATATATATTTATGCTCACCATAAAATTAATCAAAAGAAGCTATTGATATTTTGTTTAAAGAGAACTGATAAGTAAAACTAGGAAGATTCTCATAGATGAATGGATAACCACCAAGTTAAAATACAGATGGTTAGAAGATTTGGGTAAAATATTCAAACCTATCAAAGATCATGGAAATGCAAAATATAATTATACAAATTATACAGAATCCCTCGCTACCAAATTAAGAGTTTTCAAATTTTATAATATTAACAGTTTGATACTTACATTCCCAACTAGTAGAATTGCAAATTGTTAGAAACCTTTTGAAAAACAATTCTTCAGTGTCATCAAAAGCTTTTAACTTCACTCCCTTAATTTACTGTCAGGTAATCTACCTTCAGCAGTCACAAAAACAGATTAATCTTTTACATGTAAAGATGTTTTGGCTACTTATCAAAAATTAAACCTCAAACAATCTTATCTGTTCATCAGTAGGGAGAGAGTTGAATAAATTATGGTTTAATTAGTTACAGTTCTTAGAAAGTACATACGCTACCTCATCTCTAAAATGAAATGAAATTGTAATAAATTTTATCTTAAAAGGATGCTATGATAATTAAATAAAGTAAATGTATCTGTAAATATAATTCTAGCTCCAAATGGCTAACCAAATACTAGCAATTATTTTCCTCTTAGAAAAATTCAAAGAACACTATTTTGTTATTTTATTTCTTGTCCATAGTTTAGCGTGATAATAAACCTTAAAACAATCAATAGCTTTCTGTAATCTAAACTACTGCTTACATTAATATGAATTAATGAGTCTTGATAACATTTAGAATTACGATAGAGTTATTTTGACTTTTAATAATGTAGCATAATAAACATAATTTCAGATTTCACCTGCAAAATATATGTTATATATATATATGCAAAGAGTTTTAATTTAAGTGCTGCAATAAGTAAAAGAGTAGGTTTTTAAATTGTATATGGTAGTTTTGCCATCCAGAAAAAATGCATAAAGACTATAAAGACGTATTAAATATCAATAGCGGTTTTCTTTAAGTAGTAGAATTATGGATTTTCCACTTTTGAAAAATATATTCTAACTACAAATTTTTTTCAACAAAGCATGTTTTTCGTTTTTGATAATCAGACAAAGAAAATGAAACAATGTGATGTTTGGCTTAGGTATTTCTAGAAGGTGTTTGGTTTATCTTACAAATTTAAGCTTCACGCTGAAGCTGTTTTAAACATCTAACGTATGTGTTTGTGTCATTCACCAGGGTGCTCCTTCTACATCGTCTGGGGCACTCTCTACCGCTGTGCCTTGGACGTCGTGATCTGGAATTCTGTGTTCCTCGGCGTCAACATTTTGCATCTTTCATATCTTTTGTACAAGAAAAGACCGGTAATTACTGAAAGTTAATTAGTAAGAAAGTGATTTTAAAGCTAAAAGGCTTTTATAGAGTACTTTATTCAGACTTGAGAATGAACATCTACCATCTTTAGTCCCTTTAATATCATTCTAAATGAGACTTACTGTTTGCATATGCCTGAAAGTGAAATATTTCAGTACCATGAAACGTGTTCCACAAGTGAACTTTTTAAACCTTTTAAATCATTAGGGCAGTTTAGATGTGAGACAACATGACAGTAGTCTCTCTTTGTCATCATATTACTTCATTATTTCTTTTGCCAATTGATGTTCAAATATCACTTGGGAATATCTTTGCCTATTTATAAAATTGATTATTTATAGGCAACTTAGTAAACATACTAGTGATTTATAAATAGCTCATGCTATTTTTTATGCTAGTTTTTAAATGTTATGACTATATTTTTTTATTATGCCCAAAATATGTGTTTAAGGATATCACTATTTTTTGGTGAGTTGTCATTAAAGCACTAGGATTTAACTTCTTTTTAATTTTGATTTTCCTTGCTGTGTTTCCTTGGTTATACCAAGAACAAAAAGATGTAGATAGAATAGGAAAAGAGCATGGCTCCTAGAAATCACTGACTGTCCAACGCACACACAAAAATATTCAGTACAGTAAAAAATACAGTGCTTGTCCTAATCTTATGTTCAAGATCAGACATGCGTGTAGATAACTGTTAGAAAACAAGACAGTTCATGGGAAATTACAGCTTGAATGATACAGATGTATATACAATAGGCCAATCTGTTTGCCCTAGTGTATTGGTTTTCTCTAGGTTATGCTGTATAGTAAACAACCTGAAAATCTCAGGGGCATACACCAGCAACAGGTTTTTCCTCACCCACCTTACATGTGGACTCTGGCAGCTGTGTGTCAGCGGAGACTCTGTTCCATGTGTCGTCTTCATTTCAGGGTCTCTGCTGACGCAGCAGGTTCTGTTTGGACATGCATTCGCATAGCAGAGAGAGAAGCACAGGATAACAAGAGAAATACCCAGTGTCTCTTAAAATGTCTGCTCAGAAGGGGCATACATCAGTTCTGTTCACGTGGCTGATGACGTGGGGGTAGGATGGGCTAGGGAGATGTACAATCCTCTTATAGAGGGTGGTAGCAGTAAGTAGTTGGGAATAGCAATATTATCTCCCACACTTACTGTTGTATCCCCCGTTCCTATCAACCATGATTGGTATATAATAGGTGCTCAAAAAAAACTAAACATTTGATCAGTGGATATTTTCATTTTTATTATTATTTTTTATCCTCACCCGAGGACATTTTTCAATATTTTGTTCAGATAGAGTGGGAGGGGGAGAGAGAGAGAGAGAGAGAGAAACATTGACGTGAAAGGGACACATCGAGTGGTTGCCACCCACACGACCCAACCAGGGCCAGGGACAAACTGCAACCGAGGTACGTGCCCTTAGCGGGAACCGAATCCGGGTCTCTCTGGACTGCAGGCCGACGCTCTAACCGCTGAGCAAGACTGGCCAGGGCAATCAATGGATAATTTCAAAGAGAATTGAGAGCACATCATGAAGGAATTGGACTTGAGCTAGGACTTGTCAGTCAGATTTTGAATATGAGTCAGTAGACTTCAGTTCATGTGTTCATTACTGTGCCACACTGGCTATGCACATACTGGAAGTGGGACATATTTGTGAATAAGTTATTTTAAACACTCATTACTAGTGCTTTGGAGTGGAGGAGGGAGATAATAGTAATAATGAGGATTATAGTTTCTGAATATCAGAACTTGCTGGAACCCCAAGGTTTGACCGTAAGGTTCAGAAGTGACTGGTGCGATGGTAGCACCAAGTAAATCACTTAGTATCTGTGCTTTTGTTTCTTCTTGGACCATAAACCTACTTTTTTGAAAAATATAAATGCTAGTTCTTTGTTACAATGAAACAGCAGGACAAGTAATCATCTGGGTCTATAAGCTTCTTAGTGTGACTGCCATAGATTTCATTGGGACGGATGATCACTTGAACCCCAAAGTTCATTGACATGCGGTGCAGTTTTCCCAGACTAAAGCGGGGCCAAAAGGTGGATGTGACCTGGGCCTTGGCTGCCTCACAGCAGAGGCAATCGAACCATTTTGCTTTTCTCCTTCTCCGGTAGCCAGTCTTCCTCACCAGTGGGCTCCCTATTCTACAGATTTTATTTTAGCTTAGGATGAAACTGCTACACTTAAATCCTTTTACACTCTTCACTTTGCTTCAGAATAAGTAATGAGGAGCAATACTTTCAGCTCCAAATGTTTGTTTTCCTATATTGCTGCATTAAGTGATAATTACTGTAGATAAAATGATAATTACTATAGATAAAATGCTTCATGTATGTATTTTCATAAATGTGTTTCCACGTTGATTCCTGTTTCATGTGTTTATTTTCTTGCTAAATATTTCAAAGTTACTGCAGTTTCTTTCTGTGAAACAATATTGTTCTGAAAACGAAAAGGTTTGGTGTTATTAATAGAAAATGCTAAGACTGGGAAGGTGAGTGCTGTGGCGACGTTCCCAGCCTCCACAGCTGCTTTGTAGCTCGCAGCGAGAGAGGTGATCAATTGTGCAAATCTTCCCCATATGCTCTCTGCTCTGTTTAACTGCAAAAATGCCCTCTCCGCACCTAAGCGTGTATTACCACTTACTCTCTGTGTGAGATTCCACTGACTGAAACACGGGACGCTGATGGGATGCCATACACATTTACTCTCCAAACGGTGTTTAGACCACAGAATGTTGCTGCATTAGTACAGCATCTCGTCATTGCCGCATTTCAGGTCAAGATTGAGAAGGAACTCAATGGCATCTACCGGCGATTGTTCGAACCACTGTGTGTGCCTCCAGATTTGTTCAGAAGATTAACTGGACAGTTTTGTATGATCCAGACCTTGACAAAGGGCCAGACTTACGCTGCAGAGGACAAAACCTCAGTCGACGACCGTCTGAGTATTCTCCTGAAGGGAAAGTAGGTGATCTTCTCATGGCCTCTGGGTAGGAAATGAATGGAAGGAAATGTTGCCAAGTAATGGGGGCAGCTGTCACAGTTACTGGTGGTGAACTTTCCTTTCATGACTGCATTTTGAAAAACTACAGAGCACCTGTTAGTTACCTAGCATTTGCTGCTCTCAATCTTGTTAGTGTCAGGATTTTCAGTTATCAACAGTGTTCATCTTTTTTGACCTATATTAAAAGTTAATGAGTCAAGATAAAAGTAGGCTTAAATTAGCATTAAAGTCCCAGAAATCTGTGCATGTTTCAGAGGTGATTTTTTTTTTTTAATATCACAGATAAAACTTCCAGGAATATCAGTGTTCTGGGGAAAGCCTAGTCTACATTGTGCTGGCATAATAATTGATACAGCCCTCGCTGTCTCTCAAAGTGTCTGAGTTTGAGTGTGGTCACTGTAGGTAGAAGAGCGATGATACCCATTGGAAGGCACATGTCTGGTTCAATACTGGAACCTGTCTTCTTTTTCTCATTGTTGGTGAAATTTATTTAGAAATAAATGCTTGTCTTTGAGAAGTACTTTTAATTACATCAGTCATCTGTGGAGTCTTTAAACCCTTAGTACAAAATACAAACCCTTGAGGTTATGGAGATTTTAAGGATTGTCATGTTATTTTGTGACATATTATGTGTTTATTGACATTAATTTCTGTTATCAGAATGAAGGTCTCCTATCGAGGACATTTTCTGCATAACATTTACCCCTGTGCCTTTATAGATTCTCCTGAATTTAGATCAACTCAGATGCACAAAGGTGAAAAATTCCAGGTATGTTTTGGCCTGGGTTTGTTTGTTTTGTGTTTATTTACTTTATGTATTTACTTTAAATTGGGGTATATTTGACATACAACATTATATTAGTTTCAGGTGTTCAACATAAGGGTTCAATATTTGTATATATTACAAAATGACACCTCAATAAGTCTATTAGTTACATTTTTTTTCTTGTGATGAGAAATTTTAAAATCTGGTGTGATTTTTAAGAAGATTGAAACTAGTTCATGTCTCATTGAAATCCAAAGAATATTATAGAAAAGTGGTCATGATTTGTTGAAGAAAGAGGTTACTATGTGGTGTATATAGTATGATCTCACTTTTATATACCTTAAAATAGTGCATATATGCACACAAAAAGAAGTCTAGAGAGAGTTACCCTAATTTGGTCATAGTGCTAACATTATTTCGGGTTTGTTGACTTTGATTACGTTTTTGTTTTCTTTCTTTTTGCTCATTTGAATTTTTATCATTTTCCATGGAAAACATCTAATACTTTTATTAGAGAGAAGAAAAATGTCAGTTGTAGATAATCAGTGTACCTAAAACCTGTAATTGGTTACTTTTTATTTGGAAAAAACCGAAACCTGTCTTTGCCTTAGGAAATATATGTTGTTAGTCCTTATAAAAATCTAATCACTTTACTCTTTTGTATTATATGGATATATTTTAAGGACAAAGAATGAAGTTTTTCATAGTTATAACAATTTGAACATGGACCACTCAGTGTGATTTCTTTTGTATCTTAAAAAAGAATTGCTCCATGATGTGGCACTGGGTTGGGATTCTTTCCATAAGTGCTCAGCCCTCCTATTTTATTTCCCTCATTATTGGTAGGGAGATAACCCAGAAAATGGGTGACAGCTTCCTCTAGTCTCAGCCTCTAGATAAACAGCAGTAAGGGAATATCCTCTGAATAGGGCTGCTTCTGAGCCAGAGGGTAAACCGACATAGGTAGGAATGGAATAGAAGGGGATGTTACGGCCGGAGCGAGGAAGTCAGTGATTTTTGGTGGCAGATCTTATCTTTGAGTCTCATTATGAGATGCTCTGCAGTTTGTGGTGCTGCATGGAGATGGAAGGGAACGGTTACAGATGCACAGTTAGGCTTATTTGTGATGGTTTCAGCCCTGCGCTGTTCCCAGCCTGCCTGAGCGACTGGCCTGAGTAGCAGGACAACTGTTACAGTGACGTGCACGTCCTAGCAGGTCTCGGGTAGGTGGACTGGCTGGGTGCAGTGCTGTTCCCAGGCTGGTTGGGCTCAGCCACGGAAGAAAGCAGTGCCACGTCTGGGCTCCTCTGATTTACACTCTCACCTGGTGTTTGCGCACGTCAGCTCTGCGCTGGGATTTATGTTATAGTATCTTCAATCACCACTGTCCACACGCTAGATCAGGGCCACTTCTCTCCTCTCTCCTTCTTTCCTCTGACCTCCTTACCATTTCTTTTTCCAAACCCCAGCTTTTCTCTGTTGTATCCATTTCTCTGTGTATATTAACAGGTGCTTTTTTACGCAAACAGTCTCTTATCGTCCTGAAGAGACTGGGATTTGGAGAGAGGCTGGGGACGAAACCTGCTTCATTTCCAGAAGCAAATGGCCCCTGAGAGGCCAGGGATGTCACATGTACTGTCATTTCTACTGAACTTCAAATTATTATATTTATAATTAAGTTAACAAAAAACAGAATTCCTACCAGTACTTACAGTTCTCATTCTTCTGGGGGACTGGGATTGGGATTTGATAGTTGATAAATATTCCTGATTAATTGCTGTGAAAATTCCACAGCATGACTCAAATGGAGGTCTCATAGCTGGATGAAGGGTATGTACTCAGCCTTTCCAAACACCAGTCAGCTTTTCTCTGCCTGGAGTCTGGTACGGCATTTCCTAACTGGTCAATGGGTCGCAATTACTCCAGCATCCTCTAACCTGTATCCTGTACAGCTGGTGCATGCTCCATCACAGGGAGCCCTCGGGAGAGACTGTGTACAAAACGTTCCCATTGGCAGTTACTCAAGAGTAAAAATAGCTCTTACACATCTGTGTAGGAGTATATTGCCTCTTACTGAAGCATGTTCCCAAATGAAAAATGTCACGTGTTCCCAGGGCCAACTTCTTATTACCTGTGTCCATGGCAGAGGACGCTTGGAATTGTCTGTGTTAACTGTTCCACTCACATACTCTGCCTGCTAATCTCATTTTTCTCTAACTCTGAATAGTTACAAGTATTCTAACAAGGAGCTGCTTCCTTAAAAAATGGTTTCAATTTTTCCTTTGGTAGAGGTAGTAATGAATTATATAATAGGATGAAAGGAAGAAAGGCAGGTGGACTCGACTGTCCCTTGAGATTGCACAGCAGATGCTATTCAGGTGTGTGTGGTAACTAATGACAGACACAGTGGTCAAGCTGAGAAAACAGGTCTGAATTTAGGCTGCTCCCTAGGTGCTTACGGTCGTTCTGGTACTTCTAGACCAAAGTTGCTATGTAGAACTGTTAATAGAATCTTGAGTATCATTATTATAAAAGGTAGAAGTTGCCTTTTGTGTTGGGTTTCTTCTTCTTTGTGTAGTTTTATATTCAGTGAGCTTTGCCATTTATATGTTTTTAATTTGCCTTCTTGTCTTTTGCCTTCCCATAGTTGATAGCATGTTCTATGGTGTGAAGCCCAAAAATCAAAGCTCATTGACTTTAAGGGAAGAAGACTGTCTTGGGAGGCAGATGTCCAAGCTCTTGTGAAATAAACGAACACTAAGTTTTAACTGATACTTAAATAAAAACCTTATCTTTGTATTAAATAAATTTGGTTAAGCTGTGAAACAGTTTAATCTGCCAGTTTTGATTCTGCTGTATTTTAATGCACGTGAGAACTCAATGAGAATTAGTTGAATAGACCACATCTAGGACATTTTCAAGTTCCTGGTGTTTGAAATGTATCACACATAAAGAAAATAATAAATTCTCCCATGAGGACAATCAACCAGTCATAGGGTCTGACCGCTGCTTCCCGTTCTAGCCCACTCGGTAATTCCCCCAGCCGCTCTTGTTCTTACGCACTGTCTTCTCGCTGTGTGAACGTGTAGAGCGGTTTGGAATCTAAAGTGAGAAACTGATCCGGTGTCTTCAGGTAGTCACAGCACACCTGGTGACACGTGCCTGAAAGGAAGGATCCATGCCTACACTGCCAAGTTTGTTTTCATCCAGTAACTCCGTCACAGGGACTCAAGCATGGCACTGCTGAAGTACCCCAATGCCTCAAGAATCACATTTATTTTACAGAAGCTTTAAATATTCCAATATTGATTTATAAAAATCCCTCATTAAAATGTTTTCCTTGACTATTGTGACAGAAAATCATTACCCCCTTCTGACCAAATGCCTGCTTTTAGGGACTTGCAAGTTACTCATACATAGTGTAGTGATAGCTTATTATTTGCATACTTACTGAGTTTAAATTTAATAATAATTTAAATGTATTCGAAGAGTTTTCACCCATCACTAAGTGAATTTGCTAAGCAAATTACCATGTCATATTACAAATGTCATTGTGATATTTCCTAGGTGGAAATGAGGTTATTAAAACGGCTGGAAAGAGGTTAAATGCCGCCCTGGCCAGTTTGGCTCAGCGGTTAGAGCGTCGGCCTGCGGTCTGGAGAGACCCGGGTTCGGTTCCCGCTAAGGGCACGTACTTCGGTTGCAGTTTGTCCCCGGCCCTGGTTGGTCGTGCGGGTGGCAGCCACTCGATGTGTCCCTTCACGTCGATGTTTCTGTCTGTCTCTCCCTTCCTCTCTCTCCCTCCCACTCTATCTGTACAAAAAATGGAAAAATATCCTCGGGTGAGGATAAAAAAAAAGAGGTTAAATGCCTTATCCATCAGCCTGCTGCAGTTTCTTCTTCTCTTCTCCTGGATGATTTCCAACTGTTTGTTTGTTTGTTTGTTTGTTTTAACTCCTTGACCCACTGCGCATGAATTTTATTTTCCAAAGTCATGGATGACATCTTTGCCAAGTGAAGGCACCAGGCCTCCAAACCCTTTCTTTAGTGCTTCTGTGCAGGCTGGGCCTCGCCTGTCTCTAATCAGTCCTGCGCATGGTCTTCAGTCGCCTTGCGTTTACTTACCCGTCTCCTACGGTTTCTGGGAACCCCTGAGGACTGCTTGACCTTACACTTCCCACCCTATAAATCTTATCTTTTTTGTCATGTTTTTACTTATTATTGGCATCCTCCACTAGAATATCGACTTTATGACATGCTCAGCTGTTCTTCGTCTGAGGGACTTTCAGTGGCCTGTGAGCCAGTCTTGTGGTTGCTTGGCCAGATTACTTTCTATTTGATCACCTGGAAGAATACATTGGGTAGGGTTTGGCCTGGTGGGAAAATGTACCAGGGTTGAAGGTCAGAGTGCTCACTCCACCACTAATTATCGCGTGTGCGTGAAAACGTTTTTTTGGTGCTTCTCATTTGGCATCTGAAAAAGAGGGAAGGATATTATCTGTCTTATCTTTAAAGGCAATTTTGAAGATCCATTTATATGATAGATACAAAAGGAGCTTAAATGTTTAAAAGCACAATGCATATTTAAAATGAGTGGCATTGTGTGCAACTGTTATTCCTAGTCATTCTCTACTGCTTTCCCTGTTCTGTATTTATCAGATAATTATTGCCACCTGAGGGTGTCATGTTTTATTTATTTGTTATCAGCTTCCTTCACTGGCATGTAAGCTTCACACTGCAAGGATCTTGTCTTTCTTTCTTTTTTTTTTTCCCTCACCCGAGGATATTTTTCCATTTTTTGTACAGATAAAGTGGGAGGGAGAGAGAGGAAGGGAGAGACAGACAGAAACATCGATGTGAAGGGACACATCGAGTGGCTGCCACCCGCACGACCAACCAGGGCCGGGGACAAACTGCAACCAAAGTACGTGCCCTTAGCGGGAACCGAACCCGGGTCTCTCTGGACTGCAGGCCGACGCTCTAACCGCTGAGCCAAACTGGCCAGGGCTTGTCTTTCTTGATCACCATGGTACCCTCAGTGCCTTGAACAGTGTCTGGCATTAAGTACATGCATAATAATATATGTTGAAAGAATGAATGGAATTTAGTATTTTATGGAGTCACAGAGCTGGTAATACATTTCTTAAATTCAACGTGTTTGGTTTTGGAGGTTCCTTCTTTGAGATAATAAATAATTGCAATTTTTTTTCTAGGAATATTGACCACTTTTTGAAGTAGCCAAACTCTCTGATTTGCTAAAGATCAGATTTCAGCTATTACCATAAGGAGAGAAGCAGACGATTTTCATCGTCTCTCTTAGTAGACACAAATAACCCCTTGTCATCTGAAATATGTTTAATTTTGTGACTAACAAGGGGAAAGAGCGCCTTTGGAAATATGTGCTCTGCGGCCCATGTATTACTTCATATCAGTTAAACAAACCTTGATTAATTTCCTACCTGGATAGGCCTGGGGGTTAATGTTGAGATATAAAAATGGTTTCTGCCTTCAACAGTATCTGTGTTCATTTGTTAATCGCTTCACACATAAATATGCACTGAGCACCACTTTGTTGGAAGACAAACATTCAGATATGAAGATGCACAGTCCCCTGTCACCATGCTCAGGAGGGCAGATGGCCAGGATTCAGTGCTGTGAGCACCACATGAGGCTCAGGGGACAGTGACTAACCAGTGGAAGGGCACCTGCGTGGGGGGAAGAGTTTCCGGACCCTGAGCTGTGAGGGCATGGCCCCTCACTGTGGAGAAGGGATCTATTTGAGGAATACTTGAACTGTGTGCAGTACAATTACTATGTTTTCCCACTTTTCTGTGTAAGAAGACTTAGGGAAAGGGTATGGTTTCCCAGTGCCGATGGAACTGCGGGATCTCCGTGTGTGTCCCCAGTGGGCTACGTTGGGCTGGTCCTGGAAGGTCACGCTCAAGAAATACCTGTAACAGAAAGACCCAGAGAAGGTCCCTCAATAGCCATATTTGTTAGCAACAACCTGAGCCCTAAATTCAATTCATGAGTCAGTTTTCTCATTCTCTAGTGTGTGTTTGCAGATGTGACTGGAGAAAGTCTTTCATCTATAACTTGGCCTCGCAAATCTTACCTCACTTTTTTTGTTTTTTGGGTTTTTTTGTTTTTTGTTTTTGCTTGAAGCTGTATTCTTAAACCTCAGTTGTAATCTTCAGGGTGTAAATAAATATTTAGCCATAAATTATACGTCCAACTGGAACATCCGCATAATACACCCTGTGGCAGTGCTATTACACAACGGCAGTCTTCTGTCACCAGACCTCGCAGAACCACAGCACAACTCAGAGAATTTGTTCTTATTCAGTCTGCAGATTGCTTGGATTTAAACATAATTTTATATATAGTTACAGAAGCTTCTGTGTATGAACTTTATTTTAATTTAACTAATATGACAAATTATTGCTATATAATATCCACCAAATGATTCTACTCTTCTCTTCCCCCAAACTACTATTGTGATAATTCATATATATATAGATGTACTGTTTTTCTTTCTGTGATTCTTTCTTCATCAGGTCACCATTGTTGCAGATGATAACTGCAGATTTTTATGCTGGTCAAGAGAAAGATTAACGTACTTTCTGGAATCCGAACCTTTCCTATATGAAATATTTAGGTATCTTATAGGAAAAGACATTACAAATAAGCTCTACTCACTGAATGATCCCACCTTAAATGATAAAGTAAGTGTTTTTCTGAGGGTGTTTATTTTGTTCAATAAACGTGTATAGTGAAGAATACCTCACTTAATGCAATATATGTTTTCCTAAATGTTCATTAATTAGCCAAATGTTAAGTGAAATGGGAATTCTTATAGTTGAGAGAGCCTTCAGGGAATCATTTCTCAAGAGCGAGGAAATATTTGTAATCATTACATTTGCCATTGTCGAATGAGGGGTCTCTCAATGTCAGGGACCTCCATGGCCGGTGATGAGGTTATCCTCTTCATGAACAGTCTTTCTAGCAATCGAAGGACGGCGGTTAGTGAGTTGTGCAAGGGAGTGGGGGGTGGAGTCAGCCAGGGAAGGCAGGGCATCGGGGAGGTTAAGACAGAAATGCTGACAAACCCCAGCGAGTAGGAAGTTGGTATTTTAACCCTAGGGTCTTCCAGTCTTGGACATCCTCCTGGCCATGTTCCTTCCCAGAAAGCCCACCAGTGACAAGAGAGGCATGGGACGCAGGCCTATAGCAATGCATTTTGGACTTTCAGAGCTGTATAGAGCTTCAGCAAGTTGCAGTTGATCTTCATTTCCCCACATATGCTTAGAAGGAAGTTAAAATGATCACAGAAGAGTATTTGCCAAACATTATTTCTGTGATTACTGTTCTCCAGGGACTATGAGTATGGGTGTGTGCTTTCTTAAGGTCACCTTGTCTAGGCTGTTTATCAAATTAGATTGGTCCTTATTATTTTTTAAGATTAAGAAATACTTTATCAGAAAATAAAAGTCATAGCTGACATTTATTGGGCACTTACTTTTATTTCAAGGAAAAGTAAATGCTACTGATAGGGAATATATGATCTAAGTCCCACTGATGACAGAAATTTTGAAATTTTGCTTTTAGAAGCCCAAAAATTTGGAACACCAGCTGAGCCTGTGCACGCAGATCTCCATGCTGGAGATGAGGAACAGTATAGCCAGCTCCAGTGACAGCGAAGACGGCTTGCACCTGTTCCTTCGGGGCACCTCCAGCGTGTCCTCTCTTCGTAAGTTATCCCAAAACTGATACTACTTCAGGATTCTGATGGATGTCCCTGGAAATAGACAAGGGACAACTTTGATCAGAAAAATAACTTTGCAAATAACCATTGGACAGCCTAAAGTTATTAAAATTAATCACCTTTTTTCTACCTTTTTCTCCCATATTGCATATCAGCCAAAATCCAACTTTAGAACTCTTATTTCTGTTTCAGAAAATGTTCACGTATTTTGCCATGTACCTTTCTTAAATACTAGCTCATTGGAATAATGTTAAAGAGTCCTTGTTCTTTGCTGGATATTCAGCTTTGTTGTTTTCGTGATTTTAGTCCTAGTGGAAGCTTAGACCCAGCAATGTGTTAAAAGTTGTAGCAAGCAACTGCTGGCTGGTTATCCCAGTGTGAGCACCAAGAGTCAGCCGTGGCCGGGTAATGGAGGGAGACCTCTCACCACCCCGTGAGTTACCTCGTTCACACACCACCAAGAGGCAAGTTTTGCAAGATCCTTCCATAGTTTAGATTGTTTTAAGACATTTTAAGCAACCTGATGACACAGATATTGAAGATTAGTAAGTAAAATGAGAGAAGCTAGGTTATTTTAAGAATTAAATGCTTAAAATTATTTTAAGAATTATTCTAAAAATGATAGTAAAAGAACATTGAACAGATTCATGTGAAATAGTAAAAAGGCAAATTCTCCCATTGCATAAACTAAAAACTATTAACATTTCCCATCGTATATTAATCCAGAGTAACTTTTAGGTAAATACACATACACATTCAGCGATTCTAAGTGTTTATGTAAATGAGTAACTTTGGATGCTCTAGATAAACTGGGTTAAAGATTGTAACTATTGTATAGCTTAAATTGACAAAGGATTGACAAGGCCATATAATTGGTATAAGCTTCCAAACCAAAGTCTAGCATAGAAATGCTTTGTGGACCTAAAGGAGATTTCAGGAGCAACACAAATGAGAAATTTGAAATGGTTGTATTTTATTCCAAAGTTACTTTCTGAAAGTAAGTGAAGTTGACCAAAGTCTGCAGTTTACTGGCCTGTCAAATGTACTGAAACAGTTTGGGGGGTCAATAACTATTTTCAAATGGACCCATCTTAATTACATGTATAATAATTACTTACTAAGAAAGGTCAGCAGAAAGGGAATTACAGTTAAACATTGTATATGAATTATTTTTCCTGCAGAAAAGCTTATTCTTGTAGTTCTTGCTCTTGTTTAGTTCTACGGTCTTGCTTAGGAAACACTGAGAACCAGCAGTTTTGTTTTTCTGTAGTGTTTCATTGTACATGTCATCAAAATATTTTTGGGGTAAAAACATTTAAAGGGGGAAGCTTATGTAGAGTATGTTGTTTAAATAGAATTAAAACATGTTTTCAAGATTAACATCTGTACTGTACTTGCCTCTGGAAGCCTATTTGCTGGTGTTCCTTGGATTGATCACACATGCTGTGTATCCAGACCTGATTCTTGCTCTAATAATTATTAGCTGTGTGCCTTGGGGGAAGTCACATGACCTTTCTAACCTTGACATGAGCTGTCATATCTCAGCACAGGCCTGAATCTGGTCACAAGTCCTGCTCTGCTTCCTTCCCTGTTCCTTATGGGAAACGTTGAGTTTAATCCAGGTGCTGCCTGCACGGGTCATCCAGGCTTCCCTCTGAAGAAGTGTGCTGTCCTTCATGCAGGGTCGCATTTCACTTGTAGTTTCCCTGTTCCCTTGTCTAACTGGACTTTAGTACTGTGCTATACAAAAAATGTGTACCACTTGCTTACATTGTTTATTTAATTGTTTAGCCTCATTTATTATGCAAGATCTTACATATTGATACAGATACGTGTAGCTAAAGATGTGTGTGTGTGTGTGTGTGTGTGTGTGTGTGTATGTGTGTGCATTGCACACATCCACCTTCAAACCTGCTCCCGTTGACCGGTCTTCATTCCGAGTCTCCTGGCTTCACTCCAGCAGTTTAATGAAAGACGTTAGAACTTGAGCACAATGCTGACACTGATTATGAATTACTAATTCACTCTAGCATATAATTCATTAAAACCTGGTTGGTTCTTGTTTCTCTGACTTACGTTTCAGCTCAGAACTCCTGGAGGCTGTTGTTTTTCTTTTTCCAGTCCTATCAGTATGCCTTCTCCTTTCCCATTACAAATTACTTTCCTTGTAAAACAGAATACAAAATCAATCTCCTAGGACTGTGGGCCTGAAATAACAAAATTTATCACATTTTGAGCATGTGTTAGGTCTTAGTAAACGATAGGCCCCTAAAACCAGTGACTAAACTCTTATTATTCCAAGTGTCTGATGTGCAAATGGGACAGCCTGGTAGCTGTTCTCAGCCGCGGTGTCAGCTCCGTGAATGCTAATGGGGACAAGGGAACAAACGTTAATTGGCAAGAGCCGCTATTATTTTTTCAGGTGCTCTCTATACATAACCACATTTAATGTTCACTGTAGTCCTGCACAGAGGGAGGTGGATTCATTTTCCCTGGATGGTGCGGCACTAACAAACAGCCCCCCAAATCTCTGCTGTGAGGGGGAGGCCGCTTGCTCGCTCGTGTGCACGCTGGGTGCTGCTCAGCTCACTCGGGGACGCCGCAGGAGCAGTCACTGTTTGGGTCACTGCCACTAAAGGCAGAGGGGAGACAGTGGTGGCAGATCCTGCGATGGCTCTTACAGCTCCCGCGTAGAAGTGACACGTGCCACCTCCCCTCATGCTCCGGACCAGAGGAGTCGTTTGGCCGGAACCACCGTTAGTGAATGGATCTTTGATCCTCCTGCAGGGACTGGGCAGGAAGGGGCCCAGTGAGGGAGCCAAAGCGGGTGTTTTGACAATAACACAATCTCTCACAGTGAGTATTATTTCATTTCACAAATGAGGAAATTGGAACTATGAGATGCTTATTCACTGTTTCACTTCCACAGGGGGCTGTGCTGGGTGATCTGTCTGGTTCCAAAGCCCATGCTGTTAGACCATATTGTCTCTGTGTTTCTTTTTTTTATTTAAATATGTTATTATTGATTTTTAAAGAGAGAGGAAGGGAGAGGGAGAGAAACATAGAAACATTTGCTGCCTCTTGTGCACCCCCCTACTGGGGATGTAGCCCACAACCTGGGCATCTGCCTTGAACAGGAATCAAACCGGTGACCTCTTGGTGCATGGGACAACGCTCAACCACTGAGCCATACCGGCCGGGCTTGTCTCTGTGTTTTGAAAAGAAGAGAAAAAAATGCATATACATTTGACTAGCGCTGTCTAGTGTACAGGTCCCTTTCACACCCGTCTTGCATCTGAGCCTGGCAGCTGTGCCAGCAGGGCATGGCAGCTGCTATTATTTACCCCTCTAGACGAGCCCACCTACACTCGGTGGGAGGGCAGGGCTTGCCAGTCCCTTCCTGCCCCTCCAACCTGCTTCTTTGGATAAACCTGCCATTGCCCTCATCCTGCATTATGACCCAGCAATGCTGCAAATAGTTTTCCTAGACTGGTTAATTTCCATTTCAGTGAAGTTTTTTGCCTTATTCTTTGTATGAGGCTTCTACATAGGAACATTTAAAATTGACACATGATATTTTGCAGTCTCAGCTTTTGGTTAGCTTTCACTCTGCTTTGCATGTACTCGCAGAATTATTAATTCTCTAAAAATTAATTTATATATTTTCCTAATTAAACAGCTTTTACACTATTTCATTTAGTCATTCACTCAAACAGAGAACTAGATTTAAACATTAAAATGCATATGAACACTTCTCATAGTTATTTTTGAAATCGGGATTAGCAGGTCCCCATTGCGCTTGGTTGATACATCTCTAAAGTCTCTTCCGCTCTCCTTTCATCTCTGTCTCTCTGTGTGTGTTTCTGCATTTTTGTTTTGGGTTTTTTTGTTTGTCCTGTAGAACATTAATTCTTTATTTTAATCCTCACCCAAGGATATTTTCACTGGTTTTTAGAGAGTGGGGAAGGGAGAAAGAGAAAGAAACATCAATCGGTTGCCTCCTGTACACACCCCGACCGGGGAGCAAGCCCACAACCTAGGTGTGTACCCCGACCAGGAATCAAACCTGGGACCTTTTGGTGCACAGGACGATGCTCTCACCAACTGAGCCATACTAGCCGGGCCAGAACATTGATTCTTAAATATAAATGACCATATGAATCAGGTGGAGATCTTACTAAGGATTCTAATGTAGACTGGAGTGGTTAACAAATACCACGTGGTGCCACTGTGTCTAGTCCCTGAACTACACCTTTGAGTAGCTAGGTTGTAGAATTCCCTACATTCTGGAATTTTGTGGATTCCATCCTCTTGGTGGTGATTCAGATGTTTTATGTCTACTGGTAGGTAGATCTAGGGACTTGCATAGATTCTGATGAAGGCATTGTTTTTAAAGATCTTGACCAGTATGGGATATAACAGTGCAAACATATCTCATAACGTTACACAGTGTATGTTCGGTTTAAGAGAGATGCAGTTCAGAAAAAGGTGAAGGAGCCCTGGCCAGTTTGGCTCAGCGGTTAGAGCGTCGGCCTGCGGTCCGGAGAGACCCGGGTTCGGTTCCCGCTAAGGGCATGTACTTCAGTTGCAGTTTGTCCCTGGCCCTGGTTGGTCGTGCAGGTGGCAGCCACTCGATGTGTCCCTTCACGTCGATGTTTCTCTCTCTCTCTCTTCCTCTCTCTCCCTCCCATTCTATCTGTACAAAAAATGGAAAAATATCCTCGGGTGAGGATAAAAAGAAAAAAAAAAAGAAAAAGGTGAAGGAAACATTAGGTGACCCATTTCAGTGAAATTCTGCTGATCCATTTCTTACATTGTGCTGATTTTGCACCTCGCATGACGCTGGATGCAGAGCTAGGTCATGGCTCTGCCTCGCGGATTCCGTATTCCACACCAAGGGGTCGTGGAAGGGGAGAAAGTGAAGTAACAAAATAGCCTAAGAAAAAGTCCTTTCTGCCCTGGCCGGTTTGGCTCAGCGGTTAGAG